ACAACCTCACACACAATACTTCCCACCATCTTGCACAACCTCACACACAATACTTCCCACCATCTTGCACAACCTCACACACAATACTTCCCACCATCTTGCACAACCTCACACACAATACTTCCCACCATCTTGCACAACCTCACACACACACTACTTCCCACCATCTTGCACAATCTCTCACACAATACTTCCCACCATCATGCACAACCTCACACACACTACTTCCAACCATCTTGCACAACCTCACACACACTACCCACCATCTGCACAACCTCACACACACAATACTTCCCACCATCTTGCACAACCTCACACACACTACCCACCATCTTGCATACCTCACACACACTATTCCCACCACTTGCAGAACCTCACACTACCCACCATCTTGCACAACCTCACACACACTACTTCCCACCATCTTGCACAACCTCACAACACACCACCCCACCATCTTGCACAACCTCACACACACTACCCACCTCTTGCACAACCTCACACACACTACTTCCCCCATCTTGCACAACCTCACACACTACTTCCCACCATACTTGAACAACCTCACACACATTACCCACTATCTTGCACAACCTCACACACACTACTTCCACCATCTTGCACAACCTCACACACACTACTTCCCACCATCTTTGCACAACCTCACACACACACTTCCCACCATCTTGGCACAACCTCACACACACTACTATACCCACCATCTGCACAACCCACACACACACTTCCCACCATCTTGCACAACCTCACACACACAACTTCCCACTATCTTGCACAACTCACACACAATACTTCCCACCATCTTGCACAACCTCACACACACTACTTCCCACCATCTTGCACAACCTCACACACACACTTCCCACCATCTTGCACAACCTCACACACACACTCCCACTATCTTGCACAACCTCACACACAATACTTCCCACCATCTTGCACAACCTCACACACAATACTTCCCACCATCTTTCACAACCTCACACACACTACTTCCCACCATCTTGCACAAGCTCACACACACACTTCCCACCATCTTGCACAACCTCACACACACTACTTCCACCATCTTGCACAACCTCACACACACACTTCCCACCATCTTTCACAACCTCACACACACACTTCCCACTATCTTGCACAACCTCACACACAATACTTCCCACCATCTTGCACAACCTCACACACACACTTCCCACCATCTTGCACAACCTCACACACACACTTCCCACCATCTTGCACAACCTCACACACACACTTCCCACCATCTTTCACAACCTCACACACAATACTTCCCACCATCTTGCACAACTCACACACAATACTTCCACCATCTTGCACAACCTCACACACACACTTCCCACCATCTTGCACAACCTCACACACAACACTTCCCACCATCTTTCACAACCTCACACACACAATACTTCGCACCATCTGCACAACCTCACACACACAATACTTCCCACCATCTTGCACAACCTCACACACAACACTTCCCACCATCTTGCACAATCTCCACACACAATACTTCCCACCGTCTTGCACAACCTCACTCACACACACTTCCCACCATCTTGCACAACCTCACACACAACACTTCCCACCATCTTTCACAACCTCACACACACACTACTTCCCACCATCTTGCACAACCTCACACACAACACTTCCCCATCTTTCACAACCTCTCACACACACTACTTCCCACCATCTTGCACAACCTCACACACAACACTTCCCACCATCTTTCACAACCTCACACACACACTACTTCCCACCATCTTGCACAACCTCACACACAACACTTCCCACCATCTTTCACAACCTCACACACACACTACTTCCCACCATCTTGCACAACCTCACACAAACACTTCCCACCATCTTTCACAACCTCACACACACTACTTCCACCATCTTGCACAACCTCACACACAACACTTCCCACCATCTTGCAAAAACCTCACACACAACACTTCCCACCATCTTGACACAACTCACACACACACAATACTTCCACCATCTTGCACAACCTCACACCAAACACTTCCCACCATCTTTCACAACCTCACACACACACTACTTCCACCATCTTGCACAACCTCACACACAACACTTCCCACATCTTGCACAACTCACACACAACACTTCCCACCATCTTGCACAACCTCACACACACAATTACTTCCCACCATCTTGCACAAACTCACAACACTTCCCACCATCTTGCACAACCTCACACACACAATACTTCCACATATCTTGCACAACCTCACACACACACTACCCACCATCTTGCACAACCTCACACACACACTCCCACCATCTTGCACAACCTCACACACATACTTCCCACCTCTTGCACAACTCACACACCCTTCCCACCATCTTGCACAACCTCACACACACACTTCCACCATCTTGCACAACCTCACACACACACTTCCCACCATCTTGCACAACCTCACACACAATACTTCCCACCATCTTGCACAACCTCACACACACACTTCCCACCATCTTGCACAACCTCACACACACACTTCCCACCATCTTGCACAACCTCACACACACAATACTTTCCCACCATCTTGCACAACCTCACACACACAATACTTCCCACCATCTTGCCAACCTCACACACACACTTCCCACCATCTTGCAAACCTCACACACAACACTTCCCACCATCTTGCACAACCACACACACCAACACTTCCCATATCTTGCACACCTCACACACACACTTCCCACCATCTTGCACAACCTCACACACACACTTCCCACCATCTTGCACAACCTCACACACAACACTTCCCACCATCTTGCACAACCTCACACACAATACTTCCCACCATCTTGCACAACCTCACACACACAATACTTCCCACCATCTTCCACAACCTCACACACAATACTTCCCACCATCTTCCACAACCTCACACACAATACTTCCCACCATCTTGCACAACCTCACACACAATACTTCCACCATCTTGCACAACCTCACACACAATACTTCCCACCATCTTGCACAACCTCACACACACATTCCCACCATCTTGCACAACCTCACACACAATACTTCCCACCATCTTGCACAACCTCACACACACACTTCCCCCATCTTGCACAACCTCACACACACACTTCCCACTATCTTGCACAACCTCACACACAACACTTCCCACTATCTTGCACAACCTCACACACACTTCCCACTATCTTGCACAACCTCACACACACTTCCCACTATCTTGCACAACCTCACCACACAACACTTCCCACTATCTTGCACAACCTCCACACAAACACATTCCACTATCTTGCACAACCTCACACACACTTTCCCACCATCTTGCACAACCTCACACACAACACTTCCCACATCTTGCACAACCTCACACACAACACTACCCACCATCTTGCACAACCTCACACACACACCTTCCCACCATCTTGCACAACCTCACACACAAACACTTCCCACCATCTTGCACAACCTCACACACAACACTTCCCACCATCTTCCACAACCTCACACACAACACTTCCCACCATCTTGCACAACCCACACACAACACTTCCACCATCTTGCACAACCTCACACACAACACTTCCCACCATCTTCCACAACCTCACACACACACTTCCCACCATCTTGCACAACCTCACACACAATACTTCCCACCATCTTCCACAACCTCACACACACACTTCCCACCATCTTGCACAACCTCACACACAATACTTCCCACCATCTTCCACAACCTCACACACAACACTTCCCACCATCTTCCACAACCTCACACACACACTTCCCACCATCTTGCACAACCTCACACACAACACTTCCCACATCTTCCACAACCTCACACACACACTTCCCACCATCTTGCACAACCTCACACACACACTTCCCACCATCTTGCACAACCTCACACACATACTTCCCACCATCTTGCACAACCTCACACACACACTTCCCACCATCTTCCACAACCTCACACACACACTTCCCACCATCTTGCACAACCTCACACACAACACTTCCCACCATCTTGCACAACCTCACACACACACTTCCCACCATCTTGCACAACCTCACACACAACACTTCCCACCATCTTGCACAACCTCACACACACACTTCCCACCATCGTCAAACTTTCTCTGGGTTTCACAGTAATATCCACAAATATATTTACCGTCTCCTCGCAACCACCAAACTGTAACTGTACATTTCTTCGACAATTTTTTTATGGGCTTGTGTTAGGAAAGCTGTGTGTGTGTGTGTGTGTGTGTGTGTGTGTGTGTGTGTGTGTGTGTGTGTGTGTGTGTGTGTGTGTGTGTGTGTGTGTGTGTGTGTGTGTGTGTGTGTACGGGAGTACAACTACCTGAGTTGGTTCAGAAAGACACGTAAGCAAACACTAACATATTTATTAGAAAACGTTTCGGTCCTGGGACCTTTATCACGGTCCTTGATCAAGGTCCCAGGACCGAAACGTTTTCTAATAAATATATTATAGTGTTTGCTTACGTGTCTTTCTAAACCAACTTGTCGGTATTTATTACCAAGGTTTATACCAACTACCTGAGTACACCAGAGTACAGGTTAAGAAAATAACATGAGACTGGAGGAACACTGCAGTGGGCCTACTGGCCCAAATTAGGCAAGTCCTTCTCTAAATCAACCATTCTCTAATATAAACTGCATAACTGTGTTCTCAATTAAGATTTCGTGCAGCTTCAAATACGAGATAGATAAATACACAAGTGAGAGGGGTAGAATGTGTGTGGAACTTACATATGTAAGTTAATAGTCTTAATCAAGTTTATTCCTTGGATAACACTGATAAAGGGTTGGACGAACTTTTTTGTTAGTGGGTTTGGGTTTGAGAAAGACGCGCCTAGTATGGGCCAGTAGGTCTACTGCAGTGTTCCTCCTTATGTTACTAAAAATGCTCCTGTTACCCTACCTTTTGAGATTAAATGTGTGTCTTGTCTTGTTCCTCTTACTGTGCTATCTCTCTCTCTTCTCTCATTGTAGTCTCTTCATCTTACTCGTCTTCTCCTCTGCTTCTTTCTCTTGCTATTTCCTGATTGGCTTCCACCAGTCTCCCCCAGTATCTGTGGCAAGGAAAAAAAAAACTCAAATTATCAAAACAAATCAAATTCTAATTCTATGTACAAAAACAAGATAATTGACCCTGACACACATTACGTAATACAAAATTTTATCCTGACTCAACCACCACACAAACAAATTTCCTACATTTAAATAGGTGTTTTGAAGGTCATCTAGGTCAGTAGGTGGGAGGGAAGGAAGGGAGGGAAGGAAGGGAGGGAGGGAGGGAGGGAGGGAGGGAGGGAGGGAAGGAGGGGAAGGAACGGGTAGGGGTGAGGGAGGGAAGGAAGGGAGAGGGAAGGAACGGAGAAGAGAAAAGGAAGACGAAGAAAAAAAAGGGGGAGGAGGGAAAATAAGGGGGAGGGAGGGAAAGAAGGGAAGGAAGAGGAAGGATGGGGGAGGGAGGGAAGGAAGGGGGAGAAAAGGAAGAGCGAGGGACGGAAGGGGGAGAGTGAAAAGGGGGAGGGAGGGAAGGAAGGGGAGAGAGAAAAGGAAAAGGGAGGGAGAAAAAGAAGGGGGAGGAGGGAAAATAGGAAGGAGGGAGGGAAAGAAGGGAAGAAAGGTGACGTGTACTTAGCTCGTGACGTGTACTTAGCTCAGTGGTGACGTGAACTTAGCTCAGTGGTGACGTGTACTTAGCTCAGTGGTGACGTGTACTTAGCTCTGTGAAGACCTGTTTGTGTGCTCTCTGTGAATCTGAACCAGGATGCCCTCTCTTGAGCAACTTTACCAGCAGCTGAGAGAAGAGCTCAGAGTTGCTAAGATGGAGATACGGCGATTAACGGAGGAGAACAAGAGGATTCGTAGTAATCCTCCTGTTGTGAGTCCCCAGGTTAAGAGGGGAGCTTGGTCAGTGGCCGGGCAACATGGAACCAAGCTGAAGATCAAGAAAACGGTTGGAGAGGCAGAAACAACGAGAAACCAGAAGACTACCGTGGAAACTTCCAACCCATTCTCGGTGCTACCTGACGAATGTGAGTGTTCTACTGGGAATGCCACAACGAGCACCAAAGAAGCATTGGCAGACGTGAGTAAGACATCCATAGAAACCCCAACGAAGACCATCGAGAACGTCTTGACGAATTCTTCAAGTGGTGTAATGCTACCTGGTGAATGTGAGTCGACTACTCGGAGCATCACTACGGACGACGCCAAGGAAGGTAAAAACATTGTTGTTGTTGTTGGGGATAGCCAGATTAGGTACATGGATAGGGCATTCTGCTTGAAGGATAGGAGTAGGAGGCAGAGAGTGTGTTTTCCTGGGGCTGGGATGAAGGATATTGTTAGCCGTCTGGGTGACATCATGAGAGGTAATGGGAGCAATCCTATTATCTGTCTCAGTGCTGGAGGCAACGTATGTTGGCAACGTAGGAGTGAGGACCTGATTAGCAGGTATAGGTCAGCAATAGAGATAATTAGGAGGAAGGGTGGGAAACCTGTCATATGTGGCATTTTGCCAAGGAGAGGAGTTGGAAATGAATGGTTGTCCAGAGCAATTGGTGTCAATTGCTGGCTGGACAAATACTGTAAGGAAAATGCGGTAACATTCATTGACAACTGGGGACCTCTTCTATGGCAGAAATGACATGTATGCCAGAGATGGGGTTCACTTATCTAGGTGTGGGGTGGGAGCACTGGCCAACGCAGTGGAGGGAGCTGTTAGGTCTTTAAACTAGGAATAGTTAGTGGTATGGGTTTTTGCGGGAAAACTGTGAAGTCGCAGGGGTAGTAATGTGAGTACTAGGAGAACTAGTAATAGGCAAAATGAGGTGGATATTGGAAAGCCAGTGGCACTAATTGACAGGACAGTAATGGGTTTAGTGGAATAACAGAAAGGAGCAGGAAGGGTAAAGAGAGAGGAGGGTCTTTAAATATTTATTACACAAATAGTGGCAGTGCTAGGAATAAGATGGACGAGTTGAGACTAGTTGCTAGTGCAGGTAACATAGATGTATTTGCCATTACTGAGACGTGGTTTAATTCAAAATGTCGGGACATGCCTGCAGAATGTCACATTCAGGGTTTTAAATTGTTCCAAGTAGATAGAAGTATCGGGAAGGGGGGTGGGGTGGTATTGTATGTCCGAGATCACTTGAACTGTTGCATAAAAACGGGTATTAAGTCTGAAGTAACACATACAGAGTCTGTTTGGATAGAATTTTCAGAGGGGCATGAAAAATTAATTTTAGGTGTGATATACCGTCCCCCAAATTTAGATAGGGACCAGGGGAGACTACTATGGGAGGAAATTGTTAGGGCCACAAGGCACGATAATGTAGTAATTCTAGGTGACTTTAACTTTAGTCATATTGTTAGGTAAGACACATATGCAACAGTTAGACAACTTTATTCCGAAACGTTTCGCCTACACAGTAGGCTACCTAACAACCTGTCGGTATTGTATACCATTTTGATGTTCATCTTGTCAGACACTGCAACACATGGCATCTTGGTACAGAAAACACCTTGGACAAGCTTTTCAAGTGAGAAGTGTTGGGTCTGAGAGGGACATGACCTTTCAGTGGTTACATTCTCACTACTACTACTACTACTCTGCACCTCTCCTTCCGACAGTATTTAAGTCTCCGCACTGTCGCTTGATCTTCAGATAGTTCCTGACTATGGAACTGAACTTCTCCAGGCCGAGGGACTGACAACCTCAAATTCTACGACTACAAGGGTGATGGACTGATTACATCGTCTTCACATCTCTACTGTTCCTGCCTATTTTCTGTATTCGACTGAAGAAGCCTACTGTGTAGGCGAAACGTTTCGGAATAAAGTTGTCTAACTGTTGCATATGTGTCTTACCTAACAACCTGTCGGTATTGTATACCATTTTGATGTTCATCTTGTCAGACACTGCAACACATGGCATCTTGGTACAGAAAACACCTTGGACAAGCTTTTCAAGTGAGAAGTGTTGGATCTGAGAGGGACATGACCTTTCAGTGGTTACATTCTCACTACTACTACTACTACTCTGCACCTCTCCTTCAGACAGTATTTAAGTCTCCGCACTGTCGCTTGATCTTCAGATAGTTCCTGACTATGGAACTGAACTTCTCCAGGCCGAGGGACTGACAACCTCAAATTCTACGACTACAAGGGTGATGGACTGATTACATCGTCTTCACATCTCTACTGTTCCTGCCTATTTTCTGTATTCGACTGAAGAAGCCTACTGTGTAGGCGAAACGTTTCGGAATAAAGTTGTCTAACTGTTGCATGTGTCTTACCTAACAACCTGTCGGTATTGTATACCATTTTGATGTTCATTTAGTCATATTGATTGGAATTTCTTGACTGGGAATTTAGAATCATACGACTAATTAGAAGTAGTTCAGGATTGTTTGTTGAAGCAGTTTGTGACAGAACCTACAAGGGGTAATAACCTGCTTGACTTAGTTCTGGCAAACAATGAATCCCTTGTTAATAATTTAGAAGTTTCAGAGGAACAGGGTGCTAGCGACCACAAATCAATTGCATTTAGAATTGAATGGAAGTATGATAGTAGGGATAACTCAGTAACAGTCCCAGATTTTCGCTTAGCAGATTACGATGGGCTTAGAGAACACTTATCATCTGTTGACTGGGGTAACGAAGAGAGCTATCAATATGACAGTTTTCTTAACACAATACATGCTGCTCAAAGAACGTTTATCCCTTATAAAGAAATTAGATCAAATAGAAATGACCCAAAATGGATGAATAATAGGCTGAAATATCTACTAGGGCATAAGAAAGGAATTTATAGGCGTATCAAAAGAGGCGAGGGTCATCTTATGAATCAGTATATTGACATTAAGAGGGGCATTAAAAAGGGGATAAGAAAAGCTAAAAGGGACGATGAAATTAAAGTTGCTAGGGATTCTAAAACTAACCCAAAAAGTTTTTTCCAGGTATATAGAACAAAAGTCAGAGATAAGATAGGTCCCCTTAAAAATAACTATGGGCATCTTACTGACAAAGAGAATGAAATGTGCTCGATTTTAAATAATTATTTTCTCTCGGTTTTTACACAGGAAGACACTAATAATATTCCGATAATTAATTTTTACCGACTGAAGCAAAATAAGTCACCGGGTCCTGATGAGGTTTTTTCAAGGGTTCTTAGGAATGCAAAATGGAAGTCTGTGAACCATTAACTAATATTTTTAATTTATCTCTTCAAACAGGTGTAGTGTCTGATATGTGGAAGATGGCTAATGTAATTCCTATTTTTAAAACAGGGGACAAGTCGTTACGGTCAAATTACCTCCCAATAAGCCTGACCTCAATTGTAGGCAAATTACTAGAGTCAATTATAGATGAGATTATAAGAAGCCATCTCGATAAGCATAGCATGGATTCACAAGAGGCCGGTCTTGTCTAACTAATTTATTAACTTTCTTCAGTAAAGCTTTTGAGGCTGTTGACCACGATAAAGAATTTGATATTATTTACTTAGATTTTAGTAAGGCATTGATAGAGTTCCGCACCAAAGACTGCTGAAGAAAGTGGCAGCTCATGGCATTGGGGGAAGGGTGCTCTCGTGGATCGAATCATGGCTCACGGACAGGAAGCAGTCCATAAATGGGGTTAAATCCGAGTGGGGATCAGTAACAAGTGGCGTTCCACAGGGATCAGTCTTGGGCCCGTTGTTGTTTATAATATATATCAATGATCTTGATGAAGGAATTACTAGTGATATGAGCAAATTCGCCGATGACACGAAGATAGGTAGGATAATCGATTCAAACGTAGATGTTAGGGAACTTCAGGAGGATTTAAACAAACTCTATTCTTGGTCAGAAAAGTGGCAGATGCAGTTCAATGTAGATAAATGCAAGGTTCTGAAGCTCGGGAGTGTCCATATCCCTAGCACTTATAAGTTAAATAATGTAGAACTTAGCCATACAGATTGCGAAAAGGACTTGGGGGTTATGGTAAGCAGCAATCTTAAACCAAGACAGCAATGCCTAAGCGTACGTAATAAGGCAAATAGATTACTGGGATTTAT